ATCCCTTTCACATATACAACTAGTATCTAAGGTTATAATAGTAATCTGTGCTTGATGCTTTATTTTAATGCTTGAATCGAGTTGAGCTCTATTAAAAAAAAAACTAGTTCAAATTTTAGTTTCTGTAATATACTATAAAATTTTGTCCAGGGTTCTAGTTAAGAGGATGAGACCTATCATGGAGTCCATTGTTTTGCTAACTCAAAACAAGTTTCTCTTGGTAGGAGGGGGGGCTGATGACGTTTGTTTTAACCAAAAGCCGGGGAGATGTGGCTTTTGTGCCGTTAAGTTGGATCTGGAGAAAGCGTACACTAAGTTGGAATGGAGTTTTATAAGAAAGGCGTTAAGCCATTTTGATTTCCCTCCTCCACCGACTTCTATAATTTTGAAATGCATCTCCTCAACCAAACTTGCCATTCTAATTAATGGTGCACCTACCAAGTGGATTAACCCGATTAGAGGGATCCGTCAGGGAGATCCTATCTCTTCCAATATTTTTTAAATTTATATGGAGTATCTTGTCCTCAGTACTGAACAATTTGTAAACAGTAAAGTCTGGAACCTTTTAAAAATAGGGAGGGGTGGCCCATTAATATTCCATTGTATATTTGCGGATGACATCATTTTGTTCTCAAGTTGTAAACAAGTTTTAATCTCTGCTGTTAAGGAAGTTCTAGACAATCTTTGCCTCAGGTCAAGGCTTACAGTTAATCTTCAGAAATAAAAAATTTTCTTCTCAAAAAATATTCCATAGCCTGATCAGGATAACAAGAACCTTTTGGGTATTATCAGTACCTTAGATCTTGGTTTGTGCTTGAGAATCTTTGTCTGTCAGCAAAAGGTAGCCAGGCATAAATACCATTTTATTCTTGACTAAATCAGAAGCACACTTGCTGGATGGAAAGCAAATTTGTTGTCTTTTGCAGGAAGAAAGGCAACCATTCAGCAAAACTCATTTGCTATTGCCTACTTTTATGCCTAAAACATACCTCTCCCTAAAACCAGTGTTGTTAGACCCAGACCGGATCCATCGGTTCGGTCGATCCGATCGTAAACTGACCTTCTTTCTAAATTAGTTTGTACTATATAACTACTTTGGTCAAAAATCTATCAAAATCATCAAAAATCGACTAAATCGGTGACTCGATTCGACTGATTGACCCAGTTCTCAAACTTTTCTTTCTACTTTTCTTTAAACATAATTTGAGTTATCTAAATTGTAACACTTTCATTTATTAATAGGAATAAGAAAAGTCATCCATTTAGTGTAATTATCAACTCACTTTTCTAAATGATTTTTAAATCAAGATGTTTTCATCCCTATGATCTCATTAATTTAGCATCAGTGATTCAAACTTGCATTAATTTGTTTTAATTTAGTTTTTCAAGTAATTTTGGAGAATGGGCATATTTTAATCATGAATTTATATTTTTATATATAATTATTAGGTGTATATTTGATTGCAAGTCTAATATTTTTAGAACATTTTTCATGATTGGCCAAATATAATCAACAACTTAGTTTCAATATTTTTGGAACTTATAAAAATATAAAATAATTATAACATCATGCTGACGTCAGCAGATTTTTGAGAACAGTACGACCGATCCGACCAGTTGACCTTTGACTTAGTAGTTTAGCTGAGTTGCTATCTGATCCGAGTTTAACAACATTGCCTAAACCATTTGTGAAAGTATTGATACACTTTAAGAGATTTTCTTTGGAGGTCATCTTTAGAGAATAAGAAGGTCCATTTGGTAAATTGGGAGACCATTAAAACTCCCAAAGTTCTTGGTGGTCTTGGTATTAGAAAGACAGCTAATGTGAATGATGCAGCAATGGCTGGGTGTGCAAAATAAAAAAATTCTGATTTACTGACCGAATTCGAATTAAATTCAAAATTTTCGAAATTGGTAATTCAGAATTTGATACTGAAATCGGAATTTTCGATTTTGAATTATGCGAATTTGGTTCGAATTCGGTAATGGAGTTTTTGAAATCGGAATTTTCGATTTCAATTTCGTTTTATAATATATATATATATTAATATTTATTTATTTATATATATAATAATATTTTTATTTCAATTTCGTTTTATAATATGTATATTAATATATATTTATATATATAGTAATATTTTTATAATATGTGTAATATAAAATTTATATTATATAACAATACATCTAATAAAAAAGAAAAAAAGGAAAAAAGGTTTTCGAATTCACCGAATTCCGAATTTATCGAATTCCGAATTCAAATCGAAATCGGAATTAGTGAATTCGAAATCGAAATCGGTCGGTAATTCCTATACCAAAATTCCGAATAATTCCGAATTACCGAATTCGAATTCGATGCACACCCCTAATGGCTGGGTTGTGCTGGAGAATTATGCAAGAGAAAGATCAACCTTGGGCTAAGATTCTGAATCATAGATACGTGAATTCCTTAGACACTAGGCATAATAGAAGATTGATCCTTAACCATACTAAAGGATCTGTGAATCAGAAGACTCTTATGATTGGAGTGAATCTTAATAATAGACTAGGTGGTATCACCGCGCTGTGCGCAGTGGTATATATGCCCAGTTAATGTTTAGCTAGTAATGTTGGCGAGAATGAAAATTAATGCCATAAAATTGAACTATATTATACAGGAATATTAGGGAAAATTAGTAATACTGGAAAGAGGTTGTAATTATACAGGCGTTCAAAATATGAAAATCAAACAAGTTTAGTTTTCATGTTGAATGTTTAGGTTGTGGAAGTTGAGTTGATGAACGCCTAGAAGATCATTGTAACTTGTTTGATTACAGCATCTGAACAAATTTGGATATTAAGTATGAAAGTTACACAGGTGCACCAAAAACTTTGCCATTCTATTTTTGTAGTTTTTTTAAGTAGTGAATATGAGTAATCTGCTAAGGAAATGCAAGACAATATAATGAATAGACTACTAAGACCATTAGAATGCTCCTTGCTTTTGAATAGAATGAAAATAGAATTTAAAAAAAAAACACGTGTAATCAAGGAGAAGCTAATAGTTTTGTTTGTACACTTTATTTTGATTGAGTCAGATCATCAAGCACAAGTATTGAAACATTAAAAGAAATCATCATAAAACCAAGAGAAAATGGAATTTTTATAGGCATTGACTGTTAGGATACATAATGAGCAACCTACTAAAAGTATTACAAAGGAAAAAAACAAAGATATCGAACTAAGAACTCCATACGCTTTCAAAGCTCCAAAATCTAGGCACTTAATCCATCAAATTTGAAAGAAAAAATTAGCTAGCTCCTATATATATATATTCACATTAAGTTTGAAGATGACAATCTTTTTAGAATCACAGGCAAAATACTTGTATCCGTTGACTATAATTTGGTCCGCCCCACAGTCAAAATTGCCTGTAGTGCTGAAGCGTATTGATAAAATCCAATTCAACTTTTTTTTTTTAGAAATAATTTAGAAGGAAAATACTTACTCGAATCGCCAGAAAAGCCATATAGCAATCATGATGAAATCTAACATCAAGCAAAACAAATAAAGCCAACTCCACCTACAATGTTTGTTAACAATCTTACTAAAGATGATCTTTTTGTTTAATAGATTGTCTCAAGAAAGATTTGACAAAAAAAATTTCTTAAAATAGTTAAAGAGTATAATTCCTATGCAAGAAATAAATCAAGAAAAGTAGTGATACGATTACAAAAAGAAATATACAAAAAATGATAGGAAAAGGGGAAAAAATATAGTTCGAAGAAATATACAAAGCGAGTTGTTATTTCCTAAAAAAGACATTTAATAGCAACAAGTTTCTTTTTTGTTGATAAAAACCACAAATCAAGCTGTCAGTTCTTAGAAAAGGATATTTAATAGCAATAAGTTTCTTTTACAATTTATTCAAACGAATAATGAAATGCATGTACATGCACTATAAAGAGGAAATCTACTTGGTAAGACTAAACCCATACCAGTGCCAATTGAACAAATTGACAACAAAAAGAAAAAGTACTTCTAATTGGCTATAAGCAGAATGATTCTAGAGTATCAATGACTAATAGCATCAGAGAGCTCCAGTTTCATTTTTTTCAGAAATTCGTGTTTCTGTTGCCGGGCTGACAACGGTGTCAGAGCTTTAAAAAAAATAAATTTGCCTTTTTGGCTTGCAGCACACTCTTGTCAGAGCTATAAATGTCTGACTTTTTTTTTTTTTCAACGATATTCTGAGTAATTAGCCCCAAAACTGGTGGTCTTAAATTGTCCAGCAAATCAGAAAGTCATGATTAAAATCAATCAGTAGTTGAAAGACAACTAAATGAACTTCATTTAGCATACAATTCCATTTCCCAAAAAGAACAATCTTTGTTACATATTTCCCCCAAATTATAGAAGCGAAATGAATGTGAGAAGTAGTCCAATAATTTTCAATACACATAGATATAACTAAAAAGTGGATAAATGGAGTAGCACAACACTTATTGCAATATTTAGCAGGCCAAGTAACTCAAGTAGAGTATATTAAAACTTGACCCAAAAAAAAGTGCTGAAGATGGAGAATGAAGATCAATGACAATATAAATGATGGGAAAAGGAGCTTGAAAATATGTTGTCATTATCCCTGAATCATGTTTTGATCAATTTCAAGTAGGTTCACGGCTTTTGACATCACACCTAATGCCTTCTAGAGAAAACTTACACATACCCACTATCTCCTTTAACAATAGATTGTCAGTAGATGGAGGAAAAGTATCGCATTACAGAGATTGCAGGCCGCACATAACTCAAAGCTTGCTTTCTACAATTACTAATCTCTAATATGAAGTAACAATATCGAAATGTAGATCATTAGGAAATGACAGGCCAGCATGCAGAGAGGCCTCAATTAACTCGACCCCCAATTCAATGCTGGCTACCTTTGTTATAAAGACATAGCATAAAATAATGTCAGAGAACCCTATACTCCTCTCACAATGGTCAAGCCTGTAACATCATTCAAACTTGGTTTTAAATTTATTGGAAAGAATGTTCCTATTGTTGGGAAGATTTACACAGAAAGCACAATGAGCACGATATACATTTTTTCCTCTAATCAATCAAAAAAAAGATTTTCTTCTACAAGTCCCAGATTTTTCCCCAAATGGCCAAACCAAAGCCATAGTAGTGATCCTTCAACACAAAAAATATGCATAAAACTCATCAGACCTTCCGCACACAAGCATGCACACTCCCTAAATGAGAGATAAATTGTAATTAATGTTACAATTCAACTACACTGGAGACATGAACAACTGAGATAATTAAGGAGAGAACATTTGAAGGTTCAGTGAACTACAAAGAATAACTCACTAAAGATTAAGCCTCAGCTACAATTGATGATCCCACTTCCACAAGGGCGGTTAAACTTAAAGCCCATCCAGCCTTCTCACAAAAGTCTCCGTACATTTCTTGTCCTGAGATTTTTTGATAGTTTTTCTGGCAAAAAAGTGGGATTTTGCATATAAGTTTCAGTAAACAGATTCGGATAAATGAGTATGTGGCATATTTTTATCTTTCTATTTTAGATAAATCATGAGTATCCGAGGTAATTGCATTACTTTAAGCTTTAAATGTACACAATAAGCGCTAATTTTAGCAAATCCAATGATATTTAACATTCATATCCCAAAATATAGCTCCTTTAGTACCTAATTCCCACATATTAAAATGAAACCCCAAACCAAAAAGTATAAATGATTCTGTTGTCTACCTTTATCGTTTGCTTGTAAGCTGTTAGAATCCTCAAACAATCTCATCAAAATCAAATCTTATTGTCAGTATAATAAATAAATTGCACAATGAATAAACCAGCAAAAAATGAAAACTCAAAGCAGAAACAATCCGATATGATCCTAAGCATTCTCTAATCAATTACTTTCAAGCTCTTACCATCTACAAGGAGTTCATCAAAATCTAATTTTTCAATCATTTTAATAACCAATTCCACAAACACTGATTGAACTTACACAAATTAACAAAAAATCACTTAGGACTATGAAATGTTATGATTTCTTCTTTATTTTTTTGCTTGAGATTCAATAATAGAAAATCAGATTTTAAAAAAGAGGCAAAGAAGGAAAAATCTCAGAAAAACTGCTCAAGTTACAAAAAAAGTAAAGAAAAAATGTATAGCACTGATTCAAACCAGATATCCGTTGTTTCCCTTCATCTGCTTCATCTCCTTATTTTCATTTCAAAAAATCAGATAAAAATATATTTTGAATTAAAATAAAACCTTACAAAAACTGGTTAAATTAAAATAAAAAATAAACTTACAGATTAGGCTGAGAATTTATACTTTTCTCTTCATCTGCTTATTCTTCTGCTCATTTTCTTTCTCTGATCAGGGACAAAAATTAAATGAAAAAAAGACTCACAGAACCAGCTTAAATTTCACAAAAAAAAAAGTAAAAACAAAAGCATACATGTTTTGATGAAGAACCATTTTCTCCCTTTCTGCTTCTTTTTTTCATGGCTTACGTTTTTCTTTGTCCCATTTCTCTTGCTGTAATATAAATCAAACAGATGGACATGATATCTGGAAAAAAAATTGAACTCAAACAGGTGGACATTTGACGGTTGGACTGTTGTTGGCTTGTCCCTATGGAAGAAAAGTAAAGAGGGAAAGAAGAGAGGAGGAAATGAAAAGAGGAGAGAGAAAGATGGAACCTTTTCTGGTCTCGAGACCATCAGCTAAAAGAGAAATCGTGTGGTTCAGAAAAAGAAACAAAAATTGAAGGACAAATAATATAGACGGCAGTGGTGGTTTACAAAGGTACAACTATACAAATGACAAAGGATAGCTTCAAAGAAGGCTCCTCGCAAGAATCAAAAGGCCAGAAAATTCTACAAAGAAAAGCATACCATACGGATGTAAAATAGGCAATCACAAGAATAGAAAGAAAAACTAAAAATAGAAAGAAAAAGGCAGGAATTCTAAAATGAACTCACCGCAACGGCAAAAGCATATATCAATAGCATTTACAAAAAAATAAGGGAAAAAAGTTGAAGTCAGTTCATAAAAAAGACAACGCTACAAAAACGCTTAGATAACAATAGTCCAAAATACATAAATCTGTAGCAAGAAACTCACCGAGGCGATTTTCCTAAAAACTGATCGAAGCTGTTTTTGTCCCAAAAAAACTGCAAAAATCACTTCTAAACCTGAAATCAAGAAGGCTACCGATAAATAAAAATAGTTCAAGCAAAAAAACAACAATAGGCTATTGATTTAAAAAATCATTGATAAAAACTATTAAACATAACCTCAAACCTGAAAAAGATGCCTCCTTTATCATTGATCCCTTGCTGTATTGGGAAAAAATAGAAAAACCCACAACACGGCTACTTTAGAAAGCAAAAAAAAGGTACAAAAGAAGTCGGACATAAGAAAGTGGAGGAATTAGAAGAATCAAAACTTTTAAGCATACAGAATGCACTTTAGAAAGAAAGGGAAACAAAAGGCTTGCAAGATCTCATCAGGTCCCCAGAGGTATTTTCCAATTTGTCACCTGCAACATCAGAAATATGTAAATAAGACAACTACAACCCATTTTTTTTTTAAAAAAAAAAGGAAAAAAAACCGTACGAAAGATTGAGGATCAGCTGCAAAGAGCAAATTGGGGGAAAAAATCGAGGGGTTAGCACTAAAGTAGCATACAAGAGGAATTTGGGGGGAGCAGGGGAAAAGGAGGTGGAGAGGGAAGAATACACGGAGCCAACTCAAAATCAGAAAGGGAGGGGGGAAAAGGGGGAATTTCTTCAAAAGAGAGGCTTTAATTGGTTGGGGGTGTAATGAACAAACATCGTGCGGAAAAGAAAAATGCATAAGACAAACCGGCGATCAGAGGGCGAGACAGAGGATGACAGGGAAGGGGAATGGAAAAAAAGATAAAAGCAGATGAACAAAAGAGGAGGAGAGGTTACCTGGCGCAGCGAAATGGGAAGGGGGGAGGAGAAGCAGTAGGAGGAAAACAGGAACGGAAGAACAAATGGCTAATCGTGGAGAAAGGAAAGGAGAAGCAACTACATGGGTCATCATTGCAGCAACCTAATCTGCCAGCAGGCAGGACGAGACAGCAACAGGAGAAGACGTGTAAGGGACAAAGAGGAACAGTAAAGGCTGAGGCGATGCAGGCGTAGATTGGGGAGAAAGAGGGGAAGAGATCCGTGGACAAAGCGATGTAATGGCAAAAAAAAAATGGAGAAGAGAAGAGGGAAAATAAATTTGGTAAAATGTGGGACACGGAAGATAAATTTTGGAGCTGAAAGAAAAGGAAATCTGTGGTCGAGGATGGAAGAGAAAGAAGGAGAGAAGTAAGATGGAGCCGGTAGAGACGAGCTTAGCCAGCAAGCAGAGAGGTGCCTGACGGGGGCAACCTAACGGATGCAGGCAAACAGGGCCAATGAAAGACGGGTCTTCAAAGGTGGAAGACGTGTAAGGGCATAAAGTGAACAGCAAGGTGAGGGGAGGAGCAGGTTGAGGATGCGGAGGAAACACAGCATCAGAGAGGAGGGGGAAATTGAGTGCAGAAGGAGGTGAAACTTGGAGTGCAAAGAAGAGTGCACGAGGAAAAGCTTCGACTGGGTGGAGTCAGTACAGAAGAGACTGACGAAGTGGCAGAGAGGTGACCGACGAGCTCAGCCAACCACCCACTGAGAAGAAAGAAGAAAACAGTGCCAAAAAAATAAAGGAAGAGACGAAAGCAGGCACACGACGGGAGGAATGATCCGGTGCATCTACAACAGTTGCTAACCAACGCATTCGTTCCACGTCACCATCAAATGAATCCCCAGCCGCCACGCGGAGGACGACCACGTCCGACGTGGACACCGGGCGTCCGCCCTTAGCACTATATGGTTAAGGAGTGGGAAGGGCCACCAATGATGGTAAACATGCTAGGATTTGGTTGGAAGATTGGACTTTTCTTGGTCATCTAAGGAGTCTAGTTTCTGGTCCACTTCAATTTGGAGAGGATTCCCTCACTATTTCCTCTCTCTTTGGTGATAGGAGTTCATGAAATTTTGATTGTATTTCCTTTGAGCTTCTTGATTATATCATAAATATCATTAAAGTTACTCCTAAAAGTCAGATGTCAGATGTTCAAGACTCAAATCTCTTGGAAAGCTGACTTTAAGAGTTAGTGCTCTTTAAAATCCAGTGTTCATCTATTTGAGAATGAAAAATCCAAAGATGTGATTAAGGAAGATATTTCATGGGTTTGAAAAGTGTTAGCAAACAGTTGAGTGTAACATTTCTTGTGGGTTGCTTGCCAGGATAAAATTCTCACTAAAGCTAACCTCTTTATTTTAAGAGGAAAATTGTCGAGGAGGAAGGCTGCCATTTCTGTAACCATGAATTGGAGAATACCTTGCACCTTTTGTGGAGGGTCAAAATTTTTTTGGCAAGAGCTAAATCTGCCAATCTCACTCCAATCAAAGACCAGAGAGAGTGTCTGCTCTTGGTTGAAAAGAGCATGCTTAAATATGGGCATCTCCCCCTTCTTTAGAATTCCTTAGGGTACTTTAGTTGCCTTTTCCTGTTGGACGCTTTGGAATCATAAAAATAGGAGTTTGTTTGATAACCAATACTATAATAACCATTCATTCTCTAATGCAATTGCTAGTGCAATTCCTTCACCTGGGACCTAGAACTGAAGGGATAAAAGTTAAAAGAGTAAATTTTGGTGGGATGGACTCCTCCCCCTCCATGAGTTTGCAAACTAAATGCAAATGGATCAACTATTGGTAGTCCAGGTCCAGCTAGGGCAGGTGGTATCACTCGCAACTATGATGGAGAATGGGTTGGAGGCTTCCACAGGAATGTCGGCAGAGCTTCCAACACTGCCAACATTGTGGCTGAGCTTCGGGCACTAAGAGATGGTCTCAATTTGGCAAAGGGCCTTAAAATCACAAATCTCCAAGTTGAATTGGATGCAAAAATTATAGTGGCTTTAGTAAACAGTAAAAATGATCTAACACAGCTTTTTGCATCAATTGTTTATGATTGCAGGACCATCACGAGGACCTTTCACTCAATTACTATTAAGCATATTTTCAGAGAAGCAAATCAGTGTGCGGACTTTCTGGCTAAAAAGAGAGCTGAAACTGCTGAAGACTTTTGTGTTTTTGACTAATAAACCCGTAGAACTTTCCTATCTAATGGATCTAGATTGTTGAACCACTGGGCCAATGACTCAGTGGCCACCAGGGAGGGTCTCTCCTTGGACTGTTGGTGAGGGTTCAAATTTCAGCAGCAGCGGAAAAAATCTAAGAATTGTACCATAACACTCCCTTGATTTAGTCGGGTCTGTATATCCACTAGTCCCTACAACAGCTTCCTTAGATTAGGATTGTTGCTAGATTAGGATAGAGTAGGTTATACAAATGTATCGTTGCTGACAAAAAAAAAGATCTAGATTGTTGAGGCTTTTTTCTTCCAAGAATTGTATCTTTAAGTAGTTAGTAATATTATATCCCTTTCATACCCCCCTAAAAAAAAGAACACATAGCTTGTATAAAAATAAGATTAAAACTCAAATAGCAGCAGCTAAGGCGAATATGAATATTCAAATTTCGAAAATTAAATCAAACTCAAAGAGATAGGCGTTGGGCTTGAATAATATACAAGCCAAAATTGAATAAATTAAAAAAAGATCCAGATTAATCTTATACACATTGATGTTATATAGGAATAGTCAAAGCTATACCCAATTGAAAAAGGATGTTATCCAATGCATTTCAAGTAAGACTCACATTTAGGTAGACCTGGTTTTTAAAGATTTAATGGCCTAAATTATGCCATACCACTTGGTGAGATGGTATAGTACAATTCGGGCCATTGGGTCTTTGAAAATTGGGTCCGCCAAGTTTAATGCTTCAAGTAATTGTAGTAAAACTTGGCTTGCCTTGGCTTTTCGGGTGATACCAACATATTTAAGTAATTGTCATTCTATAAGATCATAATGAAAACGCAACTTTTGTTTTTTCTTCTAGACGAATATGATGTTGGGATTATATATATATATTAGCAGCCATGGATGCGTGCACATATTTCAAATTCAATTTGGGATTAGGGGACGTGCATTTATGTGAGCTAGTGTATTTGGATAAATTATTATTCGAAATATTATTAAGATTAATTATTGTAGTACTTCTTTGTGATGTAATATATGTGAAATAAAAAATAATTAAAAATATAAAAGAATTGTGATGGGAACATATGTTTATGATGCAAGTAGAATAATATTTTAAAAAACCTTGCTATCCAAACTAAGGTTGTTCAAATTGAGTCGAAAAACCAAAAAAATGGAGGAAATCAACTTGTCTCGATCCAGAAAATCTTAGGTAACCAATCCACTTATGAGAGAGGTGGATTATGGTTCGGGTTTTATAGGGTCGGGTTGTGGTTCACATTTTTTTTTCTTTTGGGTAACCCACGGGTGCTTGACCCACTTGATATATAAAGGTAAACTTATAAATTTATTCATTAAAACTAAAATTAATGGAGGAAAACCTAACCATCTTTCATCAAATTTTCATGTTCGAAATGAGGTACTTTATTATTTCAACGGTGTAAGGTTGTTAACTTGTTGGATCTATTAAATTATGTAAATTTTTATTTTTTGTTGTAATAAACAAATTTTATTTTAAAAACTTGTTTGCAATGTAAATATGCGAGGATTGATGGTTATGTTATGTGATCATTATTAATGAATGATGAATTAATAATGATTTTTTTACACTTCTAATTAGTTTTTAATTATTTATTATTAAAACATAATCTTTCTAACTTAAATATTGGTTTGAGTCCATGTAGGTATCCAGAAACAACTATGACCATGGGGGTGGTTATTATATGATTTTTTATCCAGTTGTTAGATTTGGATACCCGATCATAAGCAGCTCTAGTCCGAAACTATTATTGTATACAAGTTTAATCCAACATTTGATAAAATTGA